ATTTTGTTTTACCTTGTACCGTTTTCGAAATATTCAATTTGTTGACTTTCACTCTTTATCATAAATCGAAGAGTAGCCGATTGAAGGTACCTGCAAAATTAGTTTCAAGCTATCTTTTCTGGTTCTCGAGATATCCGTGATTTGCGAAAGGGATTATATATCGTTAAATGTAGAATATTAAAATAAGTAAAATGCGTATATTCATCATTCAGAAGCTTTATCGTAAAACCGCGTTTTCGGAAACTTTCCAAACACCGAATTAACATAGGTTATGACGCGAAGTATTATTATATCGCGTGTGAACTTGACGCGAGGCACTACCGTGCTTTTTGATGTTTCTCTTTTTCTCTAACTTTCTTCTTAAAACGTGTTCGTATATATATGTACGCCATCTGGCAGCAAGCATGCAAAAGTGCACACGACGATGACAAAAAAAACGTGATTTTCTCAGTTCAAAAACTTTATCATTGCATATCTCCGAAAATACAAAATACACAAAAAAAACGCAAGAACACTTTTTTTTAAATGTTTTATTCTGAATTGATTGAGACCAAAACGAAAGTGATTGGTTCAGTGTTTACTAAAATATTGCCCTGAGAAAATCTCCCCACTCCTAAAATGCATGAATCTCGCGTATAAGAGGCACAGTGTGCTCGCGCAGTTCGAGCGCCACTTCGTTGCGCGTGAACTTGGCGCGAGGCACTACCGTGCCTCTTGACTTGTGATAACTACTTTTTCAACATAACAGTCCAGAGCCTTAATTCTTGCAAAACTTTTGTATACGAAGCTCTATTGTTAATGTCACATGTAATATATTGTTGGTTCTAAAAATAAAAACAAAATCACGTTTGATTGCTACAAAGCAACTTGTTCTGCTTGCACGCGGACAATTCACCAAATATAAGAAATTAAGTTGTGAATGACTTTCATATCGTTATTAAGGCAATTAGGATACTTACATGGCTGTCACCACTTGGATTCTCCTCAACTAAATAGGAAAATGTTGCAGATGATGATTTTTTATAGAAAAAGTTCTACAATACAGTCGTAAGTCGTAAGTCGTAAGAAATTGACTACTCACAATCGATTATTTTTCTGTGATTACTCTGTAATTAGTTACTTTCTTACGACTTAGGCTAGTATTACATTTGTCGTACGACAATAATTTTAAGTACATTGATTGGCTATCAAATACAGTTCTTTAGAAAACTCTATCTAATAGCCAATCAACATACTTAAAATCTTTGTCGTACGACAAATGTAACATTAGCCTTACAGCTTACGACTGTATTGTAGAACAGACCTTAAAGGCCTTTGCATATAAATCGCCGTAACGTAAAACATATTATAAGAATTAACTAATCAGAATGTACCCCATTACCTTACCACTTTCAGGGGGTCGATTGTGTATCCATGCAATGTAGTGAAAATTACAAAAGTGAACAAATTTACTAGTTGTTGACCAATAAGATCATAGATATTTTAGTAAATTCGCTCATTTTTGTAAGTTTCACTACACTGCGTGATACAGAATCAACCCCCAGATGTGGAAATTTTTAATATAATTGGTCACTTCTTATGTTACGGCTACGGCGATTCATATGCAAAACCTTGACTAACTTTTAGGCTGCCTTAACATGCGGCGTAACTTGCGTAAGCGTAACTTGCGTATATAGTAATTTACTACATTTACTAGAAGAAGTTACGCTAGAAGCAGCCGTGGTTAGTCGCGTATCTTTGCAATGAGAGGCACGAGGCCCGAGAAAGGGAGACGCACGAAGTCCAAATATGGGCATAGATGGTCGAGCGTCATTATGCGCAGGCACGTCTACTAAGCGAGTGCGAGCGAGACAAAGCATTGGAAAGTGAGAGAAAAAACGTGTGAAAGAGAAATGCCCAAGAGTGCTTGAATGTTCACCACATGCGCACAAACCAGCTGGACCTTGCGCGAGAGAGAAGCTACTATCAGGGCTGCGTTCCAAAATTCTACTCCGTCAACTCTAAAGAACCTCGGATAGTGGGGGTTGAAAGTAAACCAGAGCAGAGAGAAGCCTGAGAGCGGCCATGCCATTGTAGTTTCTTACGACGGTTTCAACTGCTAGTTTTAGCCGTATTTCCACAAAAGTGGAACTCACAGACCGTTCTACATTAAACGCAAGAATCAGATCTCGTGGAATTGACCAATTGCAGAGTCAAATCTACCAATTCACCAACGTGATTGATCAGTTCCACGAGACCTGCTACTTGAGTTTCATGGAGAACGGCCTTTGAGTTCCATTATTGTGGAAATACGGCTAAAATCAGCGGTTGAAACCACAGACTTCTATAGTATACTAGACCGCTAGCTTCTTATGTACGGCTGGCTACAAAATCTATGTACTATAGTCGTCATGGAGGGGGAAGTAGGGAGTACTGAAGAATGCAAGATGGCCGTCATCTTTGACAGCTGATGGAGTTGTAAAATTTTTTTCTTTGTCTGCCTTATTTCGGCAGCCAAAAACAACAATATTTTGGCATATTGGTTTTCGTTTCTTTTAATGTGTGCTTTATGCCGTCAACCGCCATATAACCTTCACTATGCTGAACTGCAGAATTGCTATCTGCGCATGCATCGTCGCGCACGTACATAAGTATATAAGCACTGATTGGATGAACTCTCCTTATCGTCAAAATCAACCAATAAAACCCGCATTCCACAGTACCCCCATTGTACATAGATTTTGTAGCCATTGGGTGTGTTTAGCCGAAGGTAGCGCTACGTAGTGCTACGAAGCGGCTTCATGTAGCAGTTGCAACTGCTGCGTTAGGCTGCCTTTACATGCGGCGTAACTTGCATAAGCGTAACTTGCGTATATAGTAATTTACTAAATTTACTAGAAGAAGTTACGCCATTCTGAAAGTCGCCATTTACATGGCGCGTATTTTATTAAATTCGTGTAAAGCGTAAACACAATTTTTGTAAAGCTAACCAATAACAAATCAGGCCTTCTATTATACAATACAGCAGAAATACTAAGTGGCTTCTCGATTGGTTATTATTATTTACGCGTACTGTTAAATACGCGTCATGGAAATTGGATACTTTGCATGTAAGAAAGTGTGAAAGCGTAATATATGTAGTCGTATGCACGGTGAGGTTAGGATTGTAGTAAATAAGACCGGTCTTGTTAACTACTGACAATATCGGATATACTATCGGATAAAAAGTATTAACTACTGATAATCGAGTAAATACATTATATATATTAATTAGCTTTTGAAGTTTGGAATTGATACATNTATTTTTTTTTATTTATTGAAAACGTGAAGGTAAGGAAGATTATTTACTACTTTGTCACATGTACTTAATTCCTCTAAAAGAGAATAAATTTTTTATTTTTTAAAGTTTTATTAGACTGTAGGTATATTTAATAAAGGACTTGTTTTCCAAAATGTTAATAATAGAAATATTTTATTGTACNTCAATATAATAAAAAACTTAAATTAAAAAACATTTACTTTTTGCAGGCGGCTCGTAATCGTCAAAAAAGATTTGCTCCGATTCTACAAAGAAATTAAAACGTCATTTTCGCTGTAAAAATTATAAGAAATTCCGACAAATGAAAATAAATAAACAAATTATTATATATTTCTGCTTGTAAAATTTAATAAATAAAAAAAGGCTAATACAAGACGTAAACAGAGTCTGTGTTTAAATAATTTATTCTATGTTTAACGTTTTAAAATCTTTATCGTTTTGAAAACGTTGTTGACATTGTTTGACATTAAACATAGAACAAAACATTTAAACACAAATACTTTGTTTACGGCTTGTATTGGCTCTTTTTATTTAATAAATAAACAAACGTTTCAATTTTGTAGTTCGTGTTTGTGTAGGTACTCTATTTTCAGTTGATGAAAAATCTTTTGTGGATGTCGGGGTTTGTGAAAAAACGTCAACAGAATCGAGCGACTGTGGAGAAATATTTGTAGGTGTCGACGTCCGTGAAGAAACATATAAGGAAGTCTGTGGAGAATTGTTGCTGGCTGAAATCTGTGTGTGAAGCGTTTTCGAAGGTCCAGCTATAGCATTACTTTTGTGTTGCTCATTTTCTGTGTTAAATGAAGTGACTACTTCATTCTTAGCACTGGCATCTGGTAATGGACTTACTGTCCTAAAATTTATTAATGAATGGATCACACATGTGACATAGAAGTCTGTGGTTGTATGGACAGAGAGAAGCCTGAGAGCGGCCATGCCATTGTAGTTTCTTACGACGGTTTCAATTGCTGGTTTTAGCCGTATTTCCACAAAAGTGGGACTCAAAGGCCGTTCTCCATGAAACTCAAGTCGCAAGTCTCGTGGAACTGATCAATCACGTTGGTCGATTGGCTGATTTGACTCTGCAATTGCTCAATTCCACGAGATCTGATTCTTGCGTTTAATGTAGAACGGCCTTTGAGTTCCACTTTTGTGGAAATACGGCTAAAACCAGCGGCTGAAACCGTCGTAAGAAACTACAATGGCATGGCCGCTCTCAGGCTCCTCTCTGGTATGGAGAGCTGACACTGCTTTATGGAGAGATTTACACATTTATGTTGGCTAAATTGAAAAGTTATACAAATGTTACGGCCATTGCACGTAGCAAAAATTTCGACGTAGTCGCAAGGTCGTAAGCAAATTGACCAATCGCTGGCCAGCATTCTAAGTAATGTAAGATAATACTGGTCTGTATTTAATTAAATTGCTTACGACCTTACGGTTACGGCTACAATTTTTTCACGTGTACTGGCCTTTATAAAATCTGACACAAAGTTTGAAAAATTGGAAGATATAAAACAGTCTAGTTTTCCTTGGACCCACCATAAAAAAACACGTCCAAGAGAATGTAAACATAAAAAACATCTTTCAAAAAAGTAGGATAAGATAAAATCGTTAAAAAAAAATAATTTCAAAATAAGATAGTAATCTGTATTTAAAATACAGCAATAATTTTTAAGTGTATATAATAGTTATAGCTGTTATTTCATGTTTAAAATAGTTCGTTCTTCCTTACCTTACACACATAGCACTTAAGATATATTTGAAGTAATTTCTACATCATTAATATCAGTACTAAGATTACTGACAGTAACAGACTTACAAGTATCTATTAAAATTTTTATGTCTTTATCACTTAGGTAACTAAATATTTGTTCAATACAATCAAGTGGTAGCTCAGAAAACTTACAGAAAAAATAGAAAATTTTAGTGCCTTGTTCGAGCAACTCTTTCTTTTTCATACCTTTTCTGAACTGATTTTTTATCATGCTAGAGTATATTGGAAATTTTGTTTTATACTCGTCTGATCTTAAAACCTGCACTACATTTTCATTTCTCATGTATATTACTAGATTTGTATCTTTTATCAAGATATCGTAAAATGATATGTTAGTATTACTAATTTTCTCATTCTTCATGATTGCTACTTCTTTTTCACATTTATCCTGTAAATCACTTATTTCATCATTCCTGCTTATTGATACTAATTGTTCACTTACGAATAAATTTGCAGCTTTTATCTTAACTATATGCCGCTTAAGACACTCAGCAATTTCTTCATAATAACTGCGACTAAAAAAGTCATAACTATCATTATATGATATAGCATTAATGTTAGCACCTCTGTCTAACAACATCGCAACAACTTCTACATAAACTGTTTTAACAGCAAACCACAGTGGTGTAAAACCTGGTGTAAAGGAAGAGATATATGTTGCATTAACATAAAACTCCATGTTTTAAAAAATGTTCATCACTCTGTAAATATTTTTTCTCAGTTGCAATTTAAAGTTATACCTGACTTATCACTGGCATTAACGTTAGCTCCATGATCTAATAGTAATTCAGCAATTTTCATATACTCAAATTTAATCGCATGATGAAGCAGAGTTGTGCCATCCGGAGTTTCAGCATTAACGTTAGCACCTCTGTTCAAAAGCATCTGAACACCATCTACATGTCCTCTGTAAACAGCACAACACAGTGGTGTAACACCTGAAAA